ACATTTTCTGAGGAAGATGCCTGTTAAAAACCCACTGTTACAATCCTACGTTGTGGGTGGTTGCTAAGGCATTACTAAGCAGTTGCTAGGGTGTACTGTGTGGTTGCTAGGTGATTGCTTAAAAATGAAAATTCTGTCATTTACTCACTCTCTGCCAAACCTGTTTCTTTCTACTGCTGAACATAGTATTTTTTTCCCCCATACTATGCAAGTCAATGGCTACCGTCTACTGTTTGGTTACCAACATTCTTCAAAATATCTTCTTTTGCATTCAACAGCTGAAAGAAATTAATACAGGTTTGGAAGAACTTGAGGGTGAGTAAATGATGATGGAATTTTCATTTTTGGATGAACTATCCCTTTAAAATGGCAGGTCATAAACTCAGTTGGAATGGCCAGGTGAGTGGGACACTGTCAGTACAACGGACAGAATAGAAAACATTGTAGTGTTTTATTAGCAATGTTTGGTCAAAGACCTTCAGGTATTTTTTATTTTAAAAAAAAAAAGCCTGGAAAATGTCAGAAACATTGTGAACATGGTTTAATATAGAAATTTTACTTGTGGTGGATGTCCTGTTGACTTAGTCTCTTTTGTTTCAGTGCTATTTTCGCTCTCTGGGACAGTGAAGTTGCACTTGATATTTTGGGCGTGGGCTTTCAGCAATCCTGTTTTCCACTGTGGTTGCCATGAAGATGGTCCCAGCGATCTTACACAAACACACGAGATGATTGAGGCTGCTCTCCGTGGTGAAATGACATATTACAGTTGGGCAGAGAAGGGCAGAATCAGCAACCATACATGCCAGTCCGGTCAGGGGTCTTTAAATAACTCCTGTAGGAGTTACTCACACACACGTGGAGTATCTTTTTAGCACATGCTTTCAAAGAAAGCCTCTCACGCACTCTATCTGACATTCACACACTTTTCCAGGCACGCGGTGTGTCATAAGCATGTATCTGTTTGGATAGCTGCACACACACTGTGGGAAACAGCGTGAGGCGGTTTAGTCAAGGCCATTTCCCAGCATTCTGCTAACAGAGGAGGAACTTTAACCTGGCACAATGCAAATACTCACAAGCATGTAAGCCGTCTGTCTCACAGCACAGGTCAGAGCCTCCTCTATCTGTCTCTCTCTGCAGCTTCACCACAAACATCTGCCTGTTTCATATGATAGCAGGCATATTTCATTACCCACAGAAAAGCTGATGCCACTTCCCACTTTATGGTCCATGACATAATCTTTGATACATGACAGACTATGGAGATGAGGTAAATCAAATGGTTTGCTTTTCTAATAATCGAGCCCAGTTTCTTTCACAACAGATGTGAAAGTGTTTCGCGCTCTGTCTGCTCAGTACTCTGGGTTTACTGCTAGTTTCAGTGTTTCAGAACTGGAAAATGTTTCATATCATTTAGAACAATCTCTTTTTAAGCACTGTCACCATAGTTTCTGCAAGTACTGTAAAATTATAAACTGATGAAAATGTCAACGATGCTTGCCTGTGCAAAACTTAGCGCCACAATGTTAAGGCTGTTTGTAATGTGTTTGCAGGGTGATGTGTAAATTGTGTAAACTCTATGTCACATTCTGTATCGTGAATTTATATTGAGTTCTACAATTTCCAATGCCACAACTAAATCTAATAATCTGAACGCCAATAAAACGTATTCTGATTTTTTCTTTTTGCTAAGCGCAAAACTCAGTGCTGCAGCGTTAGGGTTGTTAGCGTGTTGCTATGTGGTGGCTAGGGTGCTTTGCTGGGTAAACACTAGTGCTTTGCTGTAGAAACCAGCTAAAACCAGACTGGTTGGGCGGTCTTAGCTGGTTTAAGGGGGAAGTAGCAGATTTTAAAAAGCCAGCAAAGACCAGCCTGACCAGCTAAAGAAGTTGCCAAAACCCTTCTAAAACCAGCCTGCAAACCAGCTATGGCCCGGCTAGAGGACCAGCTAAAACCAGTCAACCAGCTTAGGCTGGTTTTAACTGCTTTTTTTCAACAGGTCTAGGTGCAAACCTCGGGATCACTGTGTTAGGGTTGTTAGCGTGTTGCTGTGTGGTTTTCAAGGTGTTTTGCTGGGTGAATACTAGTGCTGTGCTAGGTGCAAAACTGTGTGCCACAATGTTAGTGGTGTTAGCGCATTGCTTTGTGGTAATTGGGGTATTCTGGGTGATTGCTAGTGCTTTGCTTGGTGCAAAACTCAGGACCACAATTTTAACTTGTCGCTATGTGGTTGCTGGGTGTTTTGCCGCATGAATGCTAGTGTTTTGCTAGGTGCAAAACTAGGTTCCATTATGCTAGGGTTATTAGAATGTTGCTACGTGGTTACTGGGATGTTCTGAGTGATTTCTATAGGGTATTTCTAGGTGTAAAACTTGGTCCCACAATGCTAGGGGGTTTTAGCATGTTTTCTCTGAGTTTTGCTGGGTTAATGCTAGTGCTTTGCTAGGTGCAAAACATAGTACCACAATGTTGGGGATGTTAGAATAGAACTAGTGAGCGCTGAATGAATTCCTGTGTCTCGCCAGAAGATGCCATCTTTTTGGTGCACTTAGTGTCCAAATTCACTCACTCATTTTCATTAACTCTTTTAAAGGACAATGCAGGGAATAGTGAATTTTCATCTTGTCTTCAGGGAATAGTCTTCTTTTTGCCCTATTTATCATTTGCCAGGTGCAAATGTAATTGTTTAAACAATAGCACACCTCCTCTCAGCAAGCTACACAATTTGAGGTCTCATTCATGTTTATAGCACATGTGGTGTGAGAGAAGTTAAGTGCAGAATTGTAATAACAAGGGTTTTTGGAAATTCTGAAAAAAGTATGAACAGCAGTGATGCCTGCCTGAGCAGAAATCACTAATAAATGCATGGAGTAACTTGTATTTTGTTGGTTACCATGGTAAACAGACATGCAATACTCTGCAATACGGAGCAAAAATGTGGCAATGTTTAATCATGTATTATATTTTTCACATCTATGGCCTAAACAAGCCATTACACATACACATTACACTGCAAAGACACACATTACTATGTGCTTCATACACTTTGTGTTGACAGGGTTGACAGGAGATCACTAAAGATCACAGTAAAACTTCAAATCTGTTAGATCCCAAGTGTCACAAATACAGCTTCCAGACACTTCTCTCTCCAGGATCAGCTCAGACATGCTGCTCACAGTAGAGAAGACCTTGAACAGGCTTGACTTGTCTGAGTTTAGACCCTGAGAGACATTGTCAACACACTGTCCTGCAGCCCATAATTGGTGGGGCAATTTATTTGAAGGCTTGATGCTAGAGAGCTGTGGTTGGAATATCATGCTGAAATGAGCCTGTAATATTACACACTTACTAGGTGTACACTGCAAGGAAATGTGCTAAATGTAAATGAAATGTCTTACAGTTAAAGGGGAAAAGAATGTCATTTGTCAGGTAGTTAATCTGTTTATATCAGCTGTGGATTGTTTTAATTGGCACTGGGAACTAGGTCAACTACAGATGCAAATATATATAATAAAATAGATTTGTAAATTATTTGTTAACATGGTTGCATATGTTTTTGTGAGACTGCAAGGAGGTGTGATTTTTTTATTAAAAAAATAAAATGTGCAATTTCCAAATGGGAACTTTAAAAATCATGATTTAAAAAAAAAAAAAAGCCAATATACATATTTACATGCACATATTTAGGATGTAGTGTTATTTTAATATTATTTATATACTATTACTGTTAAATTTGCTTTTTTATTTATATTTTCAGTTTTCATTTTATTTTTAGTTTATTTTTTGGTAATGTTCTTATGTGCTTTTGTCCTTTTTAAAATAATACTCTTTAGGTTTAGTTCATTTGTATTTCAGTTTTATTATTATTATTATTATTTGTATGTTTTTTTTCCAGTTAATAATTTTGGTGCTTTTCATCTGATATTTATTTATTTCAGCTTTATTTCAATTAACCAAAATGTTTTTAATAATTTCAGGTTTAGTTAACAATAATAACTCTGGTAGGGTGTTTTGGGTGGTTACCAGGACATTGCTTTGTTTATTTTTTTTTTATTTATGTTTTTTGGCTTATTTTATTAACTGCCAAGGGACAAAACTCTACAAAAGTATTTCTTTCTTTTTTTCCCCAATGTCATTCAAACCTCAAAAACAATAGTCTTTATTAGGAGTGATCTTAACATGGCAGTGTGTCATGAAAGACGGATCACACATGTCCTGTGTTTAGAAGACAGAGGAAGCTGTCCCATCCACTGCTGAGTCGGGTGCAGGGCAGAGGCACCCTGCAAGTATCCCGTCCAGGGGAAAATTCCTGTGAACAGGTCAGCAGTTCCCCTCATCTCTGAGTGCTCGGTTCCGCATGATGTCATACTGTCTGCTGGTGGCCTTGTGGAGGAACTAAACGTCTGATCTTTATTTCTGTTGCAGGACAACAGAACTGGATTTGTTAGGAATTGTATACACGCAGGAAATACTTGTCCCTGTCTATACAGTGGCGTTTCCTGACCACTCAGTGCTGTGATGTCATTACATATCTCGCTCTTGAGTTTTAACCCACTTTTTTTGGCCTAAAAATGAATGGCAAATATGCTTTTGCCAAGCAATGGCAGGTTAGAATGTCACACACTGTAAAAAAATAATTTTGTGATTTTGTTATTTCAACTTATTTTTTTTGTGTAGGCATAACTATATTTCCATAGATTATCCAGACAACAGGATATGTTACGTTTCTTTGTCCTCAACCAGGCTAAAAGTTGAATGAACGCGTGCAATTGCTGTTTCAACTCAACTCAAAAATGCAGGTTGAGACAACTGCACAAGACGAAATCAACAATAAATGATGATAAGAATAAGTAAATTTGCATATTTGCACTATGAACTGCTTCCTGACACATTTCAGAGCGTAGTGAAACAATTGTTATAGTGAAATCATCATCCTTTATACCGAAATGTGTAACTAAACTGTAGAGATTCTAATTGTCTTCTTTCTCTTTTCAGGTATATCTCATCAATGTCACATACTCTGACTCCACGTCCCACATCATCTACAGAAGATACAGTAAATTCTTTGACCTTCAGGTAGGCTTGCTTAAGTTTAACAGTTGCAAGTCTCTCTCTCTCTCTGTCTAACTTCTCTTACTTTTGTATTATTTTCTCAGGTAATGGGTATTCACCTCAGAACTGAGTTTAATGTCTTTTTAATGTCGGTCTTATGCAAGCCGGGGCTCCCTCTTTCTCACTTTTAAATGTGTCTTATTAGCGTGACACATTAATAATGGTGCATTTTCATTCCCAAAGCAGTAGCAAGTTAGAGGAAATTATAATAATGGAATAATAAGGAGAAGAAAGAATGCGATATGAGTCTAATGCTATTTAATGTAGCATGCGTTAAAAGGCCGGAGCCGAGTGGTTATGCTGAATGACATTTATGGGTGTATTTTACAAATTAAAGTCTAACTCTGCGACAGAGCTCTCAGGATAGCGCTGCCAATAGGAGTATTTGCTTTGGAAGCAGAATGGAGGAAAGACAGCGTTCACACCCAACCCTTCAGGTGCAGCGGGACCCCTCTGTAAAGTCTGGAAGAAAAATTTTATATGTTGGTGTGTGAGGACGTGTGTAGGGTTGAGATGATTGTGCACATTTAGTTGCAGTGTAAGCATGTCTCTATGAACATGTCTGTACAGTTGGTACAGTACAAAAAAGTTAAAGGAAAAAGTACCATAACGTCATGTTTTTTGGACATGTGCAGTAGTAATGTGTTGTCTTTTTGGATTTACACTACCTTTCAAAATGTGCTCTTATCTGCATTAATATAAAAACTTAACATTGTGAAACATGTTTTACATTGTAAAAGAACTGTTTTCTATTTGAATATATTTTAAAATATAATTTATTAATGTGATGCAATGCTGAATTTTCAGCAGCCATTACTCCAGTGTTCAGTGTCACATGATCCTTCAGAAATTATTCTTATATATATTTTTTCAGGATTCTTTGATGAATAGAACGTTCAAAAGAACAGAATTTATTTGAAATACATATCTGTTTTTAAATGTCTTTATTTTTTTTACTGTCACTTTTGACTGATTTAATGCATCCTTAAAAAAACTTACTGACTGAAAGCACGCAGGTGATGGAGATTTACCGCTGATTACAGAACCGGCTTTACTGATAAGATGCGCGTTAAATATCGCATGCGATTTATCGTGCAGCCCTATAAAATTCACTGATCTTGAATATCTGGTCATGGAAATGGATTGGTCAAAACATACAGCAACCCTATACTGGATAGTGGATATGCCTCACGGTAATACTATTGTAACCTTTTGAAGTACCTTGAAGTTATGATTTGGTACTATGGTATATCATAAAAGAACTGTTTTCTATTTGAATATATTTTAAAATATAATTTATTAATGTGATGCAATGCTGAATTTTCAGCAGCCATTACTCCAGTGTTCAGTGTCACATGATCCTTCAGAAATTATTCTTATATATATTTTTTCAGGATTCTTTGATGAATAGAACGTTCAAAAGAACAGAATTTATTTGAAATACATATCTGTTTTTAAATGTCTTTATTTTTTTTACTGTCACTTTTGACTGATTTAATGCATCCTTAAAAAAACTTACTGACTTTATACTTTTCAATGCTAATTTAAATAAATACATCATGGTTATGCCACCTTTTTTTGATAATGTACCATGTTTTTTTGTACATAAACCATAGTAATGCCATATTTTTGGATATGTACAGTGCCAGCACTTTGTCCTTTTGACGAGGTAACAGTCAACCAGTACCAACTTAATTTGAAATACCTGGAATTTTTAGGTAATTTCAAAATTGTGTTCTCCAGGCTTGAAAAAAAGTAATGGAAATGAATAGAATGATAAAAAAGCTATTGAAATTTCTGACATTTTGATGTTTTGTCAGCTTGAAATTAATCTTAGTGCTTACAATCCATTTGAAATACGTAAATAAATAAAAATAAATCAAATAAAATTCTAGGGCTGCACGATAAATCGCATGCGATATTTAATGGCGCGTTAAATATCGCATGCGATTTATCGTGCAGCCCTATAAAATTCACTGATCTTGAATATCTGGTCATGGAAATGGATTGGTCAAAACATACAGCAACCCTATACTGGATAGTGGATATGCCTCACGGTAATACTATTGTAACCTTTTGAAGTACCTTGAAGTTATGATTTGGTACTATGGTATATCAACATACCATTATCTTAACATCTGATACCATCACTGTATCAAGGTACACTGTTCCTCAGTACATTTTTTAGGGCCCCATGTATTTGTGTGTGTTTTTTGTAGTTTGCTCTTCTGTATCCATCTACGGTCTGTTGAGGTGATTAGTCTTCTGTCTCAAAGACTCCAGTGTTTAACACAGGACTAATGGCGGCCATGCTGTGTACTAGGTGAAGTCAAAGCCTCCATTGATAAGCTGAGAGTAACCCAGTCAATCAGTTCCCTCCTCTTGAGTTCCTGCCTCTCCATACAGGAACAATAACAAACATAAGGAAAAGGGATGTGCCTTTTACGAGATTTCAGCAGATGTTTCAGATCATTCTAACAAAGTATATATAATATACTCGGCTGTGCTGACTCTGCTGACTATGCTTTGTGGTTTTAGTAGTTTTGTAGTTTTAGTAGTTGACTTTGGGTTTAGTAGTTGCTTTGCAAATAGTAGTTGGTTTGTAAATACACTTAGGTTTGGGTTTGTGTGTTTGGAACAGTGATAGCGAGTGCACTACAGTTTGGATTCAGTAAGATTTGGAAAGAAATGAATACTTTTATTCAGCAAGGATGCATTAAATTGATCAACAGTGACATTAAAGATTTTTACACGATTACAAAAATCTATACATGTGAACTTTTACAACAATTTTACACCAATAGTGTATTTGTACTCTAAATGCACATACAATCAATGGTGATGTTGTGAATACTGTTGAACACGTTCAGCACTGTGTTCATCTGAGCCACAGCTGACTGGCAGGCTCTGATTGATTCAATTCCCAAAGTTACTCTTAAAATTGTTTCATTGCCTACGTGCATCATATTGGTTGTAGCAACAATAACACCAAATGTTGTTGTCTGTCACAGTGGTTAGGAGAATCATGGAGCAATAAACCATTTGGTAAATGTGCATATGGATGGTTTTGTTTTGTATTAGTACAGTCATCAATCCTTAAGATCCCACTATCGTTCAGTGTTACCACCAGTGCACTGTTGGTTAGCATTGTGCATAGTGTATGAAGCTTAGTTGAACTCCAAGTTAAACAAGTGAACTGTGCTTAAAAGCTTCCCCAACACACTGACAGCTGGTTAAACACCATTTAACCATTTTGTAACATTCCACAGTTCATTTAAAATAAAATCAGTCATGCTGGCCAAGAAAAAGGTCCTGTGCTTTCATTCAGCTAGTTTTCTGTTAGCTGAGCCGAGGTCTTTAGTTATCCAAACACACGTGCAGACTCAAATGTATGACGTCTGCAGGTTTGGCCTTTAATTGTACCTTGACAAAGGCTATCTGAAAGTCCTTTAATTATCCCTTACAGACATTTACCATGGTAGAAATAAAGATGATATTTATTGAAATGAAGTCGAATTAAGGAGAGAGAGAGAGGGAGAGAGAACGAACGAACGAACGAACGAACAGCGAACGCATGCACCCACGTGCAAGCGAGCGATTGTGAAGCACAGAATGCGCCGGAGAATTGCAAGCGGAGTCGGTCTGGGGCTTGAGTGCATGTCAGGGAGGCGCGCAGAGTGATAAAATAATATTTAATTATTGACTCCTAATTTGAATCTGTACATTATAACGAAAACAATACCTTAAAAATGAAAAGAAGCCAGTTTTTGCAATCAGATTTTTTTTTAAACCGGTAAACTTCTCAGTTGAAGGATCCAGTAAATGAATGCCTTCAAACAGTAGCCTAAGTTCAAAACAGCTACAGAGAAAACCCGACCGATTTCATTAGAGATGGCTTAGAGTCACCTCCAGAATTATTATTTTCAGCGTGTATTTGGCTTAAAAGCACGAGTGTTTTATAATGGACGCTGCTGAAGCCTGAAGGTGTTTTTTTAGATTCTGAATGGATCCGTATAGAAGCCTGTACAGTCAGGTCAAGGCAGTAGGTTTAGTGATATTTTGGCGTCTCCTTGTGGTCCTGTTTGATATTGCAGCTTGGTGCTTAATTGTATTAAAAATGCTCTAAACATTATTTTTGTTATTTTTTTTTGTGCACTATATAGTAGGCTATATAGATACATTGTAAAAAGGTATGGGGGAAGTAGGGGGTTACTATTTGCCCGTCACTGTATGCCATGGAAGAAACTGTCAGTCAAACGTAGGCTGCACAATTCTGGATAAATTGATCACAATGCTTAAAAAAATGGGGGCATAAATTAAGAGTATACCCACTTCTCCAGGCACCACTACACCACTGACTATAGTTTACAGTGAAATAGCCTACCATGCTTACTGCAGTTGTTAGTGCAATACAACTGTGGTTAGGCTGGTACAGTATGTGCCTTGCCAGAAAGATTCTGAAAGCCTCATACTCTGTTTAAAAGAGAGGTCACACTTATTTATTATGCTTTTACAGTAGTAATATAACTGCAGGAACTGTGCTAGTTTGACAGGTAACTATGGTAAACGTTTGGAAGGGATAAGCCATCTGACTTATCCTTTATGTTTGTACTGCATTATAAGCATTAACTGTTGTATTTTGGTGGAAATGTTGTCGATTCCCGCTAAATAATCTACTTAATTTTTATTATAGTACTGGCAGATATATAGTTATCGTTCTAAATGTCTCTAAGCTTCTATTTATTTTATAACAAATACAACTCATTGGTGCCTGGCGACGTTGCTGCAAAATGATATTACACTGCTTCTTGCACCTTTTGATAGTTTGATACTTTCAAAGTGAAATGTTTGGAAGGGTGTTCATTTTTATTTGAAACAGCTGCACGTGAATCTGGAAATGTATTATTCCATTTGTTGTTATATGTATCACAGCAGTTTGGAAATGAATTTCCTGGTGAGTGGCA